CTTGTATTCAGATTATATTTATTTTCGTTTCAGTTTGTTTGCGATGCTTTAATATTATTCTGATGCTCGATGTGTTGAATTGATAATGTCCATTGAGAACGTTTATTAATATATAACTTTTCGCATAATTGAATGTCGGTTTGAGATTATTGAATGTTGATTATGACTTTAAATTGCTTCAATACTGATTGCAATCAAGTTGTAGTAGCGTTAAATATCATTTCTACTAGGAATGCATTTATTGTGTAATTAGTTGATTGGATGATACAGGTTGATAGGTTGTACTTGTTAACGTTGTACCAACTAGTGGTGTTTAAGGGTTTAGCATTTTTCGGCTAGTCAATGATAGTCTTTAACCAATCGATCTGTAACTAAGATGACGGAGAGACAGGATAGATTATGCCTAGATTGCTGGGAGATATTTCTATTGATTTGCCTAGCCTTGTAGGATTAGGAAATTGAAGAGCGAGGAGAGGAATTGTGAGAGTTGGTCTTGAGTAAAACCGAACCCGTAGAGACAACGCTTTTAATATTGTGTTTTAGTTAGCAATTTATTTGATGCTTTTTAATTTCCTGCAAGTAATTAGTTTCCTTAGTTTTAATCAATCATTCTGCCAATTTCTCTTTCATTAACTCAAATATACATTAGGTCGTTAGTCTTGCTCTCTGTGGATTCGACCCTGCTTACCGCTAACTACAGTCTTTAGGTTTAGTTTTGTGACTGTGACAACCGGTTCAACAAGCACGTCGGGGGTTCCCAAATATTGCTGAAGCTCATTACTCTATAGCTGCATGGAGGATAATATATTTGTTGTTGATGCCTTTGAAGAGGAGGCTATGCTTCGGGTTCAGGTCATCTTTATCATATTAAGTGCATTCTAGGAGTCGAAGTCTTAATTTGTGTCTTCTGATGCTACTTTCTCAGGGATTTCACCTCTTCGCTGGTTCCAATACCTATTTTCATATTGCAAATATACCTCTGCAAGACACTGTCTTATCTCTCCTAGTTGATTGGCATATGCTTCGTCTCGTAAATTTTTACTTAACGTGTCTAAATCATTTTCTAAACCCGCTAATTTAATTCTAGGATCAAATATGGTAATTAAACAAAAAGAAAAAGGAATGGGTTTCCAATATTTTTTAAATTTTAATTCCATTGCCTTTATTGGTCCTGCTAAAATTTCATTGTTTCTGTTTTTTTTTTTTTTAAATAAATATGAAATTTTTATAATTGTATGTATTACTAATGGACTAGTATGATAATACACACCAGAAAGTTTTAAAGTAGATTAATAAACAATTTTAAGAAAAGAATGAATTTTTTTAGCTATATGTCAATCACTATCTACCAAATAATGAGGACCCCTATTATTTGCTATAAAATAACTAATTAAATTTGCATAAGGTAAACATGAACCAAACATTAAATAAGTACTATTCCATCTAATAGGCATGTCTAATGCAAAAGTTCTAGAAGACATATTTGATTTTATATAAGCATCTTGAAATTCAACATATCTTATATTATTATAATAATCCAAGTTAAAGAATCCCTAATTCTATCAATATTATTTCTAATTTTTTTCATACCACTTTTCACAATTAAATTAATAATGTGACATGCACAACGTTAGTGAAAAACCTTCAAATTATCATAAAAAGGAAAATTACTTTTAAAATAATCTATAACTCTACTGTTAGCACTTGCATTATCTAAAGTTAAACTTATCACTTTGTGAACTATATCATAATCTTCTAAAACTTCAACTATTTTATTATAAATTTGTTGACCACTATATCCACATCCATTAATCTAAATCCCAATAAAGATTTATTTAATTTACATGCATTATCAAAATAATGACTAGTCACACAAATATAATCTTGTTTAGCTCTACCACTCCAAATATCGGCTGTTAGAGCCACATTAACATGACAACTATGTATTTTATTTCTTAATTCTAATTTTTCCCAAATAATTTTATTTAATCATTTCTCGTTGCAGTTTTAGAATAACTTTTAAATCCTAGAAAAAAAATAAATTTTTAATAAATCTTTCAAAATTTTATCTTCAGCCATATTAATAGGTTGATCAGTTGCAGCAATCTATAAAGCTAATTGTTCCCTATATACATCAGAATTATAATGCCAAGTAGTACCCATATTAGTTATTTGAGGTTGATTGGTTTCTCTATTTCCATGTTGATTCATATGTTTATTAACATGCCTTTTTAAAGTACTAGTACCATTACCTACATCAGCTTTATAACTATTTCTACAATACTTGCATCTTGCTTTCTTCACTTGAACTCCATTTTTTGTCTCATAAAACTTTTTGAAATGCACCCAAACGTTTGATGTGTGCCTGTCGTCGATTCTGACTGTAGTTAATGAACCCGCTTCTGCTTGAGATGGAGTTGGACGAGGATGACGATTACGAGGATGACTTCTAGAACCACTGGGAGCTGTAGCAGCATGGGGAGGAAGGGGGGAATATTATGAGGTGTATCAGATTCTGAGAATGGGAAAGCAGGACTATTTGAATCAATTGCATTTACTAACAAATTCAGGGGGACTAGGATAATTTTCTTCATCATTAAAATTGATGGGATGGAAATATCTATCCTTTCTAGTTAAAAAAAAAAAAAAAAACTTGGATATAAAAGAAATAAAGAATTAAAGAAGGAGAATTGGAATTTGGAAATATGAATTGAAAATTGCAAAAACTAATAAAAATTACAATGAGAGCAAATTGACAATAAAGAGATTGAGAGATTTCAATAGAGAAATGGAGAGAATGAGAGAATTTGGGATGTGAGGAAATATGAGTGTTTAGGCCCTATTCATAGAAAAAAAAAGGGGAAAAGAAAATGACCAAAAAGACTCCTCCAACTACTATAAAACGGCTATATTTTTAGGGTAAAATGGGTTTTTGCAAAAAAATATTTAATTTAATTTTTTTTTTATTTTTTTTTCAAACCCGGCGGGTTGGACGGGTTTTTTTTTTTAAAAAAAAAAATATATAACCCACTGGGTCGCCGGGTTGGCCTATGAAAGCCCAACCCGCCTGGCGAGGTATACTCGAGTCGTGTTGAACCCGGGTTGAGGCGAGTCGGGTTAGGGTTGACCCACCTAACCCGGCCCATTTGTTCCACCTCTATTGTTTATTATTGATATAACAACTACTTTTTCCTCAAATTTGATTTAGGTATATACGATTTTTGGAAGAAACAAAGGTGCTGCTTATATATACCTGTGAAGGTAATGACTCTTTATATTTGTTTATTTTCATTAAAAATCCATTTGACCGAATTATAATTACATATATCACAAGTTAATGTTTATATACCGAAACATAGCGATATAATGATTTATATTATAAATTATGGTTTGGTAGGCGAACCATGATGAACCGTTAGTATGTTTGTCATTATGTCACTAGGACTCCACATAGGGAATCATGTAAAGCATCATGAGCGGCTGAAGTATAATGATTTATGTTATAATTTATGGTTCCATAGGCAAACCATAATGGACCATTAGTATGATTACAGTGGCATGGCACAGGCGAATTATGTTGGTTTATTACTGATATAACAACTATTTTTCTAATTATAATTACATATATAACAAGTTAATGTTTATATGGTGAACCATAGCGATGTTGTCAAACAAAATTTGCAAGAGCGAACTATAATGATTAATATTATAGTTACGGTTTGGCAGTTGAACCATAATGTATCATTGGTATGTTTGCTTTTATGTCACAAGAACTTGACATAGCAAAACATGTAGTTTTTGATTTTATTGTAAAAATTCAGCTGCCGAATGATGTTTCACCATTACAATACATTATTGATAATTGTCTTTTTTTCCCTTGTCGGCAATTCATTGCAATGTCTTATTGTTCGTTGAAAGATCTTAACCAATCACGTGATGATTGGATAATCGTTGCTAGAGTAATAAGATGTTGGGAATGCATTAATTTTAAAATGAATAACGATGTGTTTAGCATTGATATGGTTTTGATGGATGAATAGGTGCAAAATATAAATATTTATGTTAGTTAAAAGTTTTATTATTTATAAATTGCACATATTTGTTAACACTTTTCATTTGCATTGGTTTTACAGAGTAATGTGATGCATGGAACTATACCAAAAAATAGGGTTCCTAAGTTTAGAAGCCATATTCATAAAGGTTGTATATATCTCATCAGATATGTAAGGGTTATAGGATGGGCTGCTTCTTACAGACCTGTGGAAGGCACATATCGTATACAATTTCTGATGACCACATCTTTGAAGGAGATCAAGGAACCAAGAATAGCCATTCCAAAGTTTTATTTTAAATTTTCTGGTATTCATGATCTTGAAAATAGGTCACATGATATTTAGTTTTACTTATAGATATTTCAAGTCTATAAAAAATGAAGTTATATATTATATTTAACATAAATAATGATATGCAGATGTGATTGGTATTCTGAATGGAAGAGGAGAAACTCAAGAAATTGTATCAACAAAGAGTAATAAAAGAGAGATTAGACTGCAGACTGCAGACTGAACAATAAGTTTTTTTTTCTATATTGTTACATCCTGTTATCAATTGATATAACTAACATCGTTAATAATTTCAGAGAAACAAATACAATATCTTTGTTTGGAAAAGTCTGTGATAAAATCAATGATGTTGTGCAAATGGAAAATGGAAAGGCTATTGTTATGATTGTTACATCAACAAATATGAAGGAGTTTCAAGGTAATTTAAACATATTATAGAAAATTATTGTATTGTGAATAATTAATTTTTTTTTTTGTGTAACATGCACAGCGATTATTTCTGAATACAACTTGGGCATCAAGAATTTATGTAAATCTCGATATTGAGGAGGTGCATTCCCTTCAAGACATGTAAGATATCAAGAAATTGTATATTATGATATTAAATGTTGTATAACATTGATATCTTATGTATTGTTATTATTATAAAACCAAGACATGCCAGTTGTTCAATTGCAAAAGAGAATTTTCAATGAAGTACCGGTAGAAAAGGAGATTTTTCAGAATATAGTAACATTGAAGCATATTACCAATCTAGTGTGGTATAACAATGATGATCAGGTACAATATTTACTATGTAATTAAATTGATTATTACAACTTTATTTTTTATATAAGAAATTCATTTGAATAGGTCATTACACCTTTATTTTTTATATAAAAAATTCATTTGAATAGGTCACTAATTTCACAATAAAGGCTATGCTAAGTGATGCTGATTCTAGATTTGGTTGGTGCTATTTGTCTTGCAATTTTTGCAAGAAAAAGATCCCAGAGAATTTGTATTGTCAGAAATGCAGAAAAGAATTGAAATTCCCACAGATGAGGTATGTAATTTTTTTTTTTTCCCTTAGTAAATTGTAGATTACAATTCAATTGTTTATGTAACTATTGTTAATGTTACAATAGGTACAACATAGAAATGAAAGTGACAGATGAAAGTGCAAAAACAACTTTTTTGTTGTTTGATTCAATAGCCCAGAAATTGATTGGACTATCTTGCTATCAATTGCTGAACAAACAAGAGAATGACATATTTTCAGGGGAATGAAAAGAAAAAGCAAAAGCTGTGATAAAATGTGTAAACATTAGTTTGTACAAATGTTATTCATTACCACATTCAATAATAATTTTTTAACATTCTTATATAATTATTTTTATATTGAAACGAAACAGGGTTTTAAAAAAATTATTTTAACAGTACTTTTGGTCAGAAGTAATATATATTTTAAAACATATTATAAACATTGTTGCAAAAACACATTGAATATTTACATATGTTTATAAACATTGTTCCAAAACAAAGAAAATATTTACAAATGGTCAGTATTTGAATACAATACATCAAGTATCAACAACATCTAGAGTAGTGTCAGAAACAACCTGATTTGTTTGTTCTGCCTGCAATTGTAATTGCTCCAAGAAAACAGGATTTTCATTTGGAAATCGCAACTTAAATTCGTTAACACAGGTTGCTCGAGTTTCGAAGAAAATTTGAGTTAGTAAACCATAAGCTTCATTCCTGTCTGCTTCGGCTTGAGCAATAGCAGATTCTATTTTAGTATTGGAGTCAATTAATTCTTTTTCCTGTCTTTTAAGAAAACAAACTTCTTCATGAATTTTTTCACAATTTTGTCCAACAACTTTAACTATCTCCTCATGATCCTTTAATTCAATTATGACTTCTGCATATTTGTTCTGTAGATAGTTGTTTTCAGCTGTAAATTTTTCCTTTTGAATGTCTATATTTTTTTTCTTCTTCTGCAATTTAATAATGGTATTGTCTGACCCTCGCCAACATTGCTTCATTTCTAGCAAACTTTACAAATTCTGTTAATAAAACAAGACAAGAACAATTAAAAAAATAATATGATCATCAAAAAAATAAAGTGAAACAAGTTATATATTTTATATCAACAAAATTACCTAATCTGGTGTAAGTCTATCCAGATCTATTGCATGTATATTCTTCAAATTCTTTCCACAATTAAGAACTATATTTACTTCCTTGCTGTTGTTCTCACCCTTCCTTCTCTTTAACAATTGACTCTCTTCTATATCTTCATCATTCGGTTCAATTGGTGAATATATTTTTTCACATGTAGGTGGTGCAGGATGTGTAGAAACAATCAATTTGGTTGGAGAAATTGTTACTGCAGCTGTTGCAATTGGACCTGTTTTCACAAATATAATTTTCATTAACAAAATAAAAAACAATAAATTTCTAACAAAAATAAGGTGCAATTATATTAAAATTCATAATACCACTTTTTGAATTAAAATCCGAGTATTTGCTCAGCGTATCGTAGATGTCAAAAGTCTGTTGTTGCTGAATAAGAAGTTCCAATCTTTTGATTGCAATTTCATTTCCCTTACTACTGTCGCTTTCATTTCCTTTCATTTCCCTCTTTTTGAATTTTAACCATTTAGTAGGTAATCCACCCCAGCCTTTCTTACAACCCAATAAAAAGTACCTATCATTCCACCCTCACAACTTATTGCTCAAACCTGTTAACAACACTTTATCATTCCTACTCTTGATAAAGTAAAAGGAACTATTGGGTCTCTTTTTAATTGCATAAAAATAGTTAAAAATAGAAAAACATTGGTTCAATTGTATTCATCAAGCAAATAACTTTGAAAGCCATAACAATTTTTCAACCATTTGGACGGAGCTAGCTCAGTGCTATTTTATAAGCCATCATTACTTCTTCTACAAATGGAGAGAATGGAGGAACTAAGCCATATTGCAAAAATATTTCAAAAAAGGTAAAAAAAAAAACCCAGAAGGAGGAATAGTGAATATATAAAACCCAGGCGAATCACAAGGCAATAAATCATAATCGTCAGAGATACTGTATTCTTTCGGAAGTTTAGAACTTCTTCATCAGAAAGGGTGCTGCTAATTTCTAAAAGAGACATTGTCAAGAAGAAAAATTATATTAAGAACCAGTGGAATAGGAAATAATTTCACTTACCTACGAATTGGTTTTAAAGACATTGAATGAATCCGCAATACATAGAACAAGAACAAATACCCTAAATCCCCACAATTATTTTAAATACATAGCAAGAAGCTAAACGGTGGCGTTTTATTGAATTGTAGATTTTACAAATTTTTGAACATTATTATACTTAATAAAGGTATATATTGTCAGAAGAATATGTCAGTGATTTATATATGGCAATTTTTTTCTTTTACTTGTGTTCACAAACAAATTGAAATTCAATTTATTGATCTATATGTTTTTTCTTTTTAAAACTTCAACAGTTGTTTTCTTAAATCCTCATTGATGATTACAATGTTCTTCTCTTAAACCAAGATTAATGATTACAATGTTCTTCTCTTAAACCAAGATTAATGATCGTACAAAATCCTTCATATTGCATATGATTAAGCCCAGGTATTGTAAACATTCTTAAATTTTCAAATATATCGTATGATAATTGTTATATTGACTGAATATTAATTACATATTTGACACTTTAATGTTTTATTTATGTAATGAATTTAATTATGTCATTAATGAAGTATTGTTAACACAATATTTTTTAAATTAATTGATATATAAATATTTATTTGGATGTCAAATGATTTATACGTTGTTTCTGTCATTGTAATGTTTTTTTTTTTTTTTTAATAAATTATTGGATATTAATCGGTTGGTATATTGTATTTGGTCTCTTTGATTTGCTTTCAGTTAATGCTTCTTAATGTGAACGTATACGTTGTATGTGTTAATTATTTTTGTTATGTGAAGTTAATAGAAAACATTCAAGGTATTTACATGAATATGAAGTGGTTGATATGTTGTACTATTGCAAAAATAGTTCGTTTTTATTGTTATGTGAAATTAATAGAAAACATTCAAGTATTTATGTTAATATGAAGTGATTGATATGTTGTACTATTGCAAAAATTAAATGTTTAGTGATTTATATTGAATTATTGTAATTAATGTACTTCGTATACATATAAATATATTTATATAATCAATATTAGATTGATAGATAATTGTTTTTTTTTTCTTTTCCTGATTGTTTGGTCTTATTATATCTATAGAACAAGATAAAAATTGTTCTTCGTAGCTACAATATATCTGCTGGTAAAGTTAATGTAATGGTCTTGATTCTTTTAACAATTTAATACTTAAATGTTGTATGTATTACTTCTTAAATTTGTAATATATATAACAATTTGTAGATGATTGTTTTGTGCTTTTCATTAGTGTCCATGTGTTGTAAATATCTTTTGTTTTTATTTGACGTAGGTATATACAATCAACGAAAATAATTTGAAATTTATTATTGCAATATTTTTCTTTTTACAGGTAATGAAGCTTTTTTTTTTTTTTTTTTTTTTTTTAATTTTTTTATATCATTACAACAATCTCCTGTGAGATTGCTTGTAATTTTCAAATTTTTGAATATCATTGTATTATGCAATTTTCTATACTGGTTATAGAATTATGTTGGTTAGGTTATAGGATTGTAATATGTATATGATAGTATTAAAAAAACTTGACTATAATTCTTCTATAGAGTTGTAGTAAACTATTTAACGAATTATAATTTTGGTTTTGATTGTAATAGATTTGTTAATTAACATTTTCAATGTCCATCCATTTATTTGGTGTATTATTACTTTTTGATATGCTGGATGCCGAACAATGTATTGGATCCTTAGAATTGTGTTAAGGTAATACTGACCTATGATTTAAATGTAACTAGTGCATACATTATATCTGTATTATTTGTCGAACGATAATTTACATATAACTATATAATAATAATTTATAAATTTATTTTTATAAGTATGCCGAACCATAATACAGAAATATAAAAATGTCATAAGTTGTTATTGAACCAAATTTTTGGGCAATTCTAAAAGATATGATGTCTGTTCGCTTTCTTCACTGTATTAAATTATTATTAGCATGGTTGTATAATTGTGTTATAAAAAAATAGAAAGAGTGAATATTAAATTGTTTGAGTCTAATTTTGTTTGTTCATGTGGAAAAGCATAGTATGGAGACTACTGATGGAGTTTCAACAAACGTACAATTATATTTGGAAAGGACAGAAAGTTATAAATTGGAATTTGATTCTGGAAATACAACTGCTGTTGAATTGAGAAGAAGAGTGTGCAAGGAAAATAGGAAATTGAGAATGATTGTATAGAACAAAGAGCTGCAAAAGCTGCTAGAACTGAGACCGGTGATAGTGCAAATGACAAAATGTCTGGATCGAAGAGAAAAAGAGGTAGTTAATAAATCAATTATTGTTTTTCTATCCTTTCTGTAATAGTATGACAATTATACTATTGTTATTTTTAATTTCAGGAAACGCATCGAATAATGAAACAGAGTCTGTGTTGGAAACAAATGTAGACGTATTGAATAATGAAACAAAATCAGTGTTGGAAACAAGTGTAAACGTATCGAATAATGAAACAGAATCTATGTTGGATAGTTGCATCAAATAATGAAACAGAATTTGTGTTGGAAACAAATGTAGGTTCACAAATTTGCTTAGGCCCTTCTGAACATAATGATCGCATATACAAAAAAAAAAAAAAAAAAACAGAAGATACATAATGTTTGTATTAAAAAGAAAGAGAGGTGAGGAAAATTATGTTTTTTCATTTTCTTGAGATATTTGGCTGACTACATATAAAATTTTGCAAGTGGTGATTATTATGTAAGAAAAAAATCTAAATTAAAGCTTACTCTCTCAGAAATATGTAACAGTAAGTTATAAACTTTAGACATATAATTACATAACAAATTATTACAGTTTGTTCATTTTTGTAACAATATCGTTATCTTTGATATTTGTTTAAAATTAGTGTTATTTCTATTGTTAGTGGATTTGGAACCATTGAACTTTGGTGTACCATTTACCATTGCAAGCATTATTAGGGCAATCATGTGGTATGAAGAGTTTACAATTAAGAACAGAAAGATAACTTCTCTTGTATTTTCGTTATGTTGTATGGATAGGAAAATTGAGTTACCACTGTTGAAAGAACCACCTGAATTGTTGAAAGAATTATTGGATGTAAACAGTGGTTCTAAAGGAAAAATATTTAGAAACAAGATAAGAATATACAACTTGATATTCTCATTTACATCAATGGGAAGGGACATTGATACTGATATCAATAGAAATAATGGTCCATATGTTTTCAGACTTTGTGGGCAAAATTATCACCGTATAGGGGCATTGCTTCCACCTGCTGGAAAGAAACCTACTTTTGCACAACTTTACATCTATGATACACAATGTGAAATCAGTCAAAGATTGAATTGTATGGGAAGGCAAGCAACTTATAATAGTGTTGACAAAGAATTGAAATTGATACTTGATAGGAACAATGAGTTGGTTAAAATTTTCGGTTTGCCAGGGATTATATTGAATCAAATAATGTTCTTGAAGTCCACTTGTAGTTAAAAATCCATAGAGAAAAAGATGGAAGACAGTGTAATCTGCCAATTGCATATGAAATTGCAGGAATAATTATTGGTGATGTTGGATGTTGGAAAGGATGTTATCGTTTATCATTCAAAGAATGGTTTATAGAGAATTACTGACTTACATCCCAGTTTTATGGCATTAAGTTATCCAATTTTGTTTCTATATGGAGAGGATGGATACAGGGTTGGCATTAAGCATAGAGAATCAGGAGACAGAGAAACTTCTACAATGCATAAACTGACTATGAGACAATTTTATGCCTTTCGATTGCAGTATAGATTGAATGAAGGACACACTTTGATGAAATTTGGTGGACTATTGCAATAATACATTATAGATGCATATATGGCTATTGAAGACGAAAGGTTTCGTTGGATAAGAAAAAAAAAATTAAGAAGTGATTTTTTATAGCGGATTGATGGATGCTATTTCAAATGGGGATGTTAATGCAGAGAATATAGGCAAGTGCACATTGCTACCGTCCTCTGACACTGGCAGCCCAAGATATCGTATTCAAAATTATCAAGATGCTATGACAATTTGCAGATATCATGGATATCCTGATTTTTTTTTACATTCACATGTAATCCAAAGTGGCCAGAGATACAATATATATAGAATGCTATTGGTCAATGTGATGAAGAAGGAAAAGTAACTGCTATTTGTAGAGTGTTCAAGATGAAATTGCTTGAACTGATGAAAGAGATAAAGAATGATAAATATTTTGGTGAAACTCTGGCAAGTAAGTTCTGTTACAAGTAATATGTATATTTTCTTTTAAAATATTTGTTCATTTATGATTTATAATATGAAATTTACAATATATCAACAATTACTGACAATATTCTATTATATTTCCCAGTTATTTATACTATTGAATTCCAGAAAAGAGGTCTCCCACATGCACATGTATTGATTTTCCTCTACGGGGAATATAAGAATCCTTCTCCATCAAAGATTGATAGGATGATATCTGCTAAATTACCAGATAAAGAAAAGGATCCTCTTGCTTATGCAGCTGTTGGGAACTACAATATCCATGGTCTGTGTGGAAATTTAAATACAAGTTCACCTTGCATGGAGAACGGGAAATGCAAAAAACATTTTCCAAAGAAATTTGTGAATGCAACAACTATAGATGATGAAGGGTACCCAGTATATAAAAGGCGAGATACTGGATCAATTATTGAGAAAAAAGGTGTCAAAATTGACAACCATTTTGTTGTTCCCTATAATAGAAATCTGACGGTTAAGTATGATGGTCACATAAACATTGAGATCTGTAACCAGCATAGATCAATCAAGAATCTATTCAAGTATGTCAACAAAGGACCCAACAGAATCAAAGTTTCTATGGAGGTTGCAAAAAATAACGAAGGGAGTTATGGATGCACAAATATTACAGAGGATTATGAAATTAAAACTTATGTCGATTGTAGGTATGTATATAGAAGTATAAAATATAATATATTTGTTGTTATTTGTTATAAATATAATATTGAAAAATGCAATTACTATATTTACAGATATATTTTTGCCATGGAGGCTAGTTGGAGAATATATCAATTTGATATGTACTATGGAGAACCAGCTGTTGAAAGACTTCCTTTCCACTTGAGAATGAAGAAACAGTCGTCTTTGATCCAAATCAGAATTTAGTCAAATATTTGGAGAGCAATGTTGTTACTTAGACAAAATTAACAGAGTGGATGAAATGTAATCAACAATATGAAGAGGCAAGATCATTGACTTATTCTGACTTCCCAACAGAATGGGTTTGGAATGACAAAGAAAGGAGATGGAGTCAACGGGAAGGTGGAAGATGCATTGGCAGAATTTACTTTGCATTTCCAGGCAGCAGTGAAAAATATTATCTGCGGATGTTGTTAAATTTGGATAGAGGAGCAACATCATTTGAAAATATCAGAACTGTTAACGGAAGGATATATCCTGCATTCAAAGATGAATGTTATGCATTAGGCTTGCTGGATGATGACAGAGAATGGAATGATTGCTTAGCTGAAGCATCAATATGGGCTACTGGAACACATTTACGATAGCTATTTGTAACAATTCTTTTATTTAATGAAGTCGTAAACCCAACAGAATTATGGCAAGCAAATGCAGATCAACTATACGAAGACATCGCATATAATCTCAGGAAAAAAATAGGAATGAGAACAATGAGATACAATACGAAGCAGTTACACAATCATGTATTGACTGAGATTGAAGACTTCATTAAAAAAGGACGAAAAACAATGGCTGATTTTCATGGATTGCCAATTCCAAATCGCGCTGAATTTGAACATATGTAGAATAAGTTGATTCCTGAGGAGTTGAATTATGATATTGACAGCAACAAAATCCTGCACAATGACTTATACAGTGGTCTAAACAATGGATAGAGAGACATTTACAATTCAATTATTGATTCAATTTATAATGAAAGAGGAATGCCGTTTTTTGTTTACGAGCATGGTGGAACATGCAAAACATTCCTATGGTCAACAATAATAGCAAAATTGCGGTTTGAAGGTAAACTTGTTCTTTTTGTTGCTACGTCAGGTATTGCTGCCTTGCTGTTACCAGGAGGAAGAATAGCCCATTCACGTTTCTGGATACCTTTGGATGTAACTAACAAGAGTACATGTGATATTAAGAAAAGAATGCAATTGGCAAAACTGATTTTGACAACATCTTTGATAATTTGGGATGAAGCATCGATGGCAAATAGGTATTGCTTTGAAGCACTTAACAGATCTTTGAGGGAGATTTTGTCTGATAAAGATTCGTGAAATGCTAATAGAATATTTGGAGGCATAATTGTTGCACTGGTGGAGACTTCAGACAGATTTTACCAGTTATACCAAAGGGGAAAAAATATGATGTGATGCAAGCATGTTTATCTTCATCTCCCCTTTGGGAACATGTCACCGTGTTGAAGTTAACAGAAAATATGAGATTGAAAAAGAATTTCCAAAGCGATGCAGAATTGGAGTTGACTACTTTTGACAGATGGTTACTGCAAATTGGTGAAGGAACAGGAGTATCAGAAGATGAAAGCTTTATAGAAATTCCTGAAGATTTGAAAATTTCTCAACACAGAAATCCAGAAGAAAGAATTGTGAATGTTGTTTTCTCAAATCTATTTGCTGAGATAGGCAATGTTTATTATATTAGAGAGAGGGCAATATTGATAGCTAGAAATGATACAGCACATGAATTGAATGACTACATTATTCAAAAATTGCAATCAGAATCAAAGACCTATTACAGTTCAAACAGCACTTGCAAAGCAGCAGGGACTTCAAATGATGATGACATTCTATATCCAACAGAGTTTCTTAACTCTTTGATGTGCTCTGGTATGCCAAAACATGAATTGCAATTAAAAATTGGAGTTCCAATTATGTTGCTATGAAATCTGAATCAATTAGATGGCCTTTGCAATGGGACGAGATTGATTGTGACTCATCTAGGGAAGTGGTGCATACATGCAACAATTATTACATGATCAAATATTGGTGATAATGTTGTGATTCCTAGAATAACAATGTCCAATGCAGATATGAAATGGCCTTTCAAACTGAACAGAAGGCAATTACCAATTGCAATTAGCTTCTGCATGACTATAAACAAAAGTCAGGGTCAATCACTCAAAACAGTGAGTTTGTATGTAGAACACCAAGTATTTACCCATGGACAATTACATGTTGCCCTATCAAGAGTAACTTTGAGAAAAGGTATCAAGATCTTATTAGTCCAACAACAAGATGAACCAGAAGAAAAGTTGCGAAATATTGTTTTCAAAGAAGTGTTCCACAAGATAGAAAATTAGATATGATACTGATTCTATAGCAATGCAAAGTTTCAAATACAGAATATTTGTCAAATATTTCACAACACAATTATACTGTTTTATTATTTGTACAAGTAGTATTGCATGGTGTAAATACATTTTTAGTAGCATTATCATTAGTACAAACTTCATTAGACTGCCCTCTCTTCAACACAACTTTTTCCAAAAATTTAGAGTCTTCATTTGGAAATTTTGACTTGAAAGCATCTACACAAGCTTTTCTGGCAGCCATAAATGTGTCTATCACCCAATCTTCAACTTCATTCTTCTCTTTCTCTTTGACAACCAAAGATTGGATTTTTCTATTCTCATTAGACAATTCGTTCAATTTTTTTATCACAACTTCCTTTTCTTTTTGTTGATTTTCAATAGATTGTTCAGCAGATGTAAATGCTTCATGAAGATGTTTCAAGTCATCTTCAACTTTATCTACCTCTCTTTCAAAACCTTTTTCACTTCTTCTAATTTTTGTTTGTCAAAATTCAGAACTTTGATTTCTTTTTGCAATTTTGAAATAACATTCTCCTCTGCCAGCCAATGCTCCCGAGCTTCTTGCCAAAGTTCAAAACCCTATTGTAGAAATACAAGGGAAGAAGATAAAATCTCAATAAGACACGTTTAAAAAAAGTACAAACTTAACTGACCATTAAATTGTTCCAAAAAAATAATACCTGAGTACCGACAAAAGATATCTTATTATTTAATTCTTTCATAGATAGTGTTCTATATTTCCTCACACTCTTTATATTCTCACTCTCTTGCTGGGATGTTTTTTGTTGCTTTATAAAGCTACATAACGGAACCTCTTCTATTGTATCATCTTTCTCTTCAATAACTTCGACATGAAATGAAACATAAAGGGATACAATAGGATTAGGCACTCGTACAGATGAAACATAACTCTGTAGTTGATTTATCAACTTTATTGTCGTGGCAATGCTTGGTCTTGTATTAGATGCTGATTTGCCCTTGACTCTATCCATAAACTTCAGCAATTTTTCAGAAGCCATATCTAAAATTTAAAAATCACACTTCAAGACTTATAAAAAAAAAGAACAATAGAATCATCAATCAACCTAAAAAAATAATATTTCCAAACTGCCTAAAATCCTCAGCAAAGAAAAATAATAGTATAAAGATTTATTCGTACCTTCTTAAAAAATTGTATTCACAAATACTACAACAAACCAACAAGACAAATTATAAACAAAATTTCAAACAGTCATGAGTTCAAAGCGATTACGAACCATTCAAATCTGGAAATTCCTCACTGATTTTGATTTGGATATTCTATTATACAGATTGTGTGTGAATGCATATCCAAATAAAGAAAGAAATAAATTTTACCGTTGTAAAGTTGTGCAAACTTATAGGATTTTTGACGAAACTGTTCAATGTTACCAATTTGCCTGAAATCACAGCAACAAATCCGGTGTGATGGAAACATAAATAGATACTTCAGGGTTAGAGAGTTTGAATCAGGCTAAAAAAATACTCTTAAGCAATAAAACATCCTTAAAAGTAATAAACATATTGAACAACAACATTTAAACAACATATAAACTTTATCAATCTAAACGACCTCGCACATCAAAATAATAATGCCAGTGTTTTTATCATTAAATAATAATCCCTTTAAAACAGAATAACAATAATTGCATACTTTATTTTAAACTTAATGAATACACATGGTATAATAATAATTGCATATTATTCTTATTAAAAAAAATATTTTCACTGAATAATTTATCATATGAACAATTATAAATTCTTGAAATCCAATTGCCATAGAAAAATATAAAATAAAATAAACATGATTACCACTAATCAAATATAATAATTAGTGAGAAAATATAATATCTTATGAAAATGTTGTCTGATTTTCTTTTCATCTTACATTACAATAACATTAGATTCAAATTCGAATAAAAACTTAGTGATTTGAAACAAACATTATTTTTATAATAAATAAAACACTGATTAAAATTTAAATATAAATTGTTAACATTTATTTGGTTTTAAATTTGATATAATATCAAGGACCGTTGTCTTTCACAATTTCCAAACAATTTTTGCACATTCTTCAATCGACCAGTTTATTTATTATGATACGTCTCTTCGTTTTCTAATTGTTCGATTTCCATACACATTAAAATGATACTTTCATGTTTATATATATATATATATTATATATAATATATATATATATATATAGATGATATATATATTGTATATGAACAATTACTAAAACTGCATCTACATCATTATATAAATTTTAATTATCTGCTCAAGCTTTGTTCACGTTTTTTAAAATGGCGGATAAAGGCAAGAAGAAAGCAAACTAAATTATTGCAAGTTTTTCAACAAAAAAACAAAAAGGTAAGAAACGAATCCGTTTGCACTGATAATGTTTCTCTGCATTAAAGTACAAAGAATTTTTTATTTGTAATATTTTGTAAATTGATACAATTCCATGAATTTCTTTTTTTGTTAGTTGGTTTGCCGATGAATAAAAAGGACGAATAAAAAAACTTGAAGCAACTTCTGCAAAAAGTCCAGACAAATTTGGACGATTTAAATGCGGCAAGACTCGATCTGAAAGATGTTACCAATGAAATGGGTAACATCATGGATTCTTGCACGGGCTTTGTCTTTGATCTAAATAAACGGGAGAGTTTGGCTGTTGAAGAGGAATTGAAAATTCTTAAACAGAAAGTTCAAGATCTTTCCTCTACATCATCCAAACATACCTGATAGTAAAAAATGATGATGTAATCATGTTTATAATACAGATATAATAAATAAAATTCTTTTTCAATTGTCTCATTGTCAAATGTTTAACTGATTAAAAAGTTTATTATAACATGTTCTAAATAATTTTTGTTAGATACAATATCAAACGTTAAAATACTATAATAAAAGCAATTGATATTGTGCATCAATGATAGTAACTAATAAAAAATAGAATGAGCAATGTTTAATTATATCAAACAATTAATCAAGCAATACCATGAAGAGATCAATGACAAGAAAGAAAATAGACAAATCAATTTTATAAAAGAGACACATAACATTTGCTCATAAAACATTATAAAATACCTAATATTTTTTTTCTGTAAAAATTGATTGTCAAACTAGAATTCATTTTCGAATACCAACTGTTAAAATTTAAGTGTTGTAAACTTTATTGTTCAAAAAAAAGTATAACTCATTCGCAGCAATATTCAACTATTGGCGAACATATTTAAATTAATAAGTTTTCTAAACGTTTTCGAATTTATACATTTAATATATAATTATATACTCGTTTTATTGCATATTGTTCGAACATTTGCTTTCATCTACTTCCATAACTGTGGTTTGGCGAACCATTGTATTGGTCGCAAATATTTTAGATGTGTTTAATTCCATAACATACTCAAAAATACAAACCATTTAAATTTAAAGTAAGTATATCTATATATATTTAAAAACATAACAATATCGATATGTATTTGTATTGTTTTAAAATTTTTAATGTACAATAAATACTTTACTATCATTTAATTGCACGTTATCCAAAACTTTTTTTTCCTTTTCTTCATAAATGCCTGTGTTTAATATTTAACAGAAATGTATTAATATTCTGACTTTTACACTTCACATTATACGAAGAGTCCTTTAAATCGTTTTTAATAACTAATGCCTTTATTTATGAACAGATACTTGTTGGGTTCCCAACTATTCATATTCTAACCTCATTCAAAATGTCTTCTCTTGTTAATATCTATATCAGGATAAAAAAATTTGTATTTGTTTTGCCTTTACAAAATACTTGATTTATTTTCTCTGCTTATCTCAATATGACTGACAGATCATCAAATCCAAAGAACTTTGTAGACGGTAATAAACATCTAAACCATTTTAATATTTTCATTTCTATACAGAAACTCTGTATCTTTATATATTTTTTTAAATTAACAAGATTTGATTGTTATACTTAACAGATGAACCCGCTTCAATCGACAAATAGGTGGACTTGAAAGAGATCCTTCACAATATCGAAACCAACATGGAGAAACTAAATGCTGCAAGACAGAAATTGAAAGAAACAATTGATGGATAGATAGAAATCATGCAGTCAACCATCAGTGTTATTTCTGATCTAACCAAGAGGGAGTTCAGGATTGCTGCAAAGGAAATTGAACTCGAAATTCATCAGCAGCAGAAATAAAAAAAAATCTCATGTACACAATCTTTTGATGTTTACAATACAATTAATATAAATATAAATATATTCCATTCAAAAATACAATAGCAACAGTCCAAATTTGCAAAAATACTTAAAACAACAAACTAACAAAAATAACTCATTATTATTATAAATATAAGTTTAACAATTTTAGTGTATAATAACCTACATGCTGAACAATAATTTAACAACAGCGTTTATACTAAAAAAAATCTTTAACTTTGAATAATTTCACCTCTTATATGATAAACATTATTGTATTATGCAGATTATCAAATTGAAAAATAATCAAACAATTCTAATAAAATATTATACATCAACATTACAATTT